GTATCGGTAGTTTCAGCAAGCTCACACAATTCTTGAACACAAAATGCATGATTGGAGTACATGGCGCAGTCCGAGTTAGGCCTTTAGTAGACGCAACATATGTAGACCGACTGCATTGGCAACGAAACACACACGGCCACTTGCTCTAAACAGTTGGCATTAACTAGTGGAACCAACTTACAACGTAAATGCTTTTTGACACCGATCAGTACGCCGCCACCACGTAGCAGTTGAGATGTGGCTGGATTCCGATCGAGACGATAAATCACATAGTCGGACGAGAGTTCAGAGTTTAATATGTCGCTGCCAAGCCACGTTTCGGTCACTAGAGCAAGAGCCTACTTGCTCGCATTCGCTGTCTCGGAAGCTGACGATGGTAGTGGGTTCAATAGGACTGGCTTTAAAAAATCCCGTTTTTTACCAGTGTCTTCGAACTCCCGGAATCTTATGCCAGAGGGCCATGTGTCCAAACACATTGCTTTGGATTTCAACGATTCCCATGAGGAACTGTCAAAATTTGTGTGAAGAAACGTCACTTCGGCACTGTCGTCAAGGTGAATAGTCCATTCTAAAGAGCCTGAATTTGTTCTTTAGTCCATTCTATGCGCACGAGTAGGGTTTTTGATCTAATTTCCGTCCTACTAAGCACAACCCGCGCTTTACCTCTCTTTTCTGAACGAGTTTAAACAAAAAATGAAATATTTCGGTCAAAAATGACTTCTAAATTTATTCACCTTTCCATACGTACCGTTGGATTTCAGTCACAAATTGTTGAGATATTGTCTAATACTGCTTCTTGATTCTAAATTCGTTCTACGAGTTTCAATTCCGTCCAAACGCATTGAAACGGCATTAGATTTTCTTCGTCCTACGGATAAACGTAGAAAAAGGGGATTCGCTGGGAGCACTTCATTTGTTTTGAGAACAATGAGCGTAAATATTCATACAATGCGCTCTAACAGGAATTTTGTTGTAGCTTATTATTAATGATTTGTGCACGGTGAAATCATTGATATTATTGATTTTTTCTGATCGTTAGAACTGAAATGGGCGATTACGACGAAGTAGTGCTCTACCCTGTTGATGATCCGAAAGTGAAGGTAACAATAATAAACCAACATGTTTGGCTGAAGCTAAGAGGAAGAGGAGACAACTGGCTTCTTACTCTTTTATCTTTATCTCTATCTATATCTATCCCGATCTCTTCAAATCGGCCAATCACGAGCTGATTCGCGTTTGACAGAAAAGTGGATCGTTTTTGCCCCCGTATTGTCTTCTTTTCCTCTTAAGCAAACCCCACACGTATCAATATATTGACGCGAAGGGGAATTATTGACATTAATATTGATGGTGTGAATACAGAAATATTGTCAATACCGATGTATTGACGTCAATATTGAATGTATTGACAATACGATTATTGTCAATAAAAGCAATCGTGTACGGTCCACATTAGGGCTGAAGCGAAAGTGAGGATAACAAACTTGAACATGAGGCTACGCAAATGCACGTGTTATAAACGTCATAAAGATCAACAGAAGTGAAGAGTTTTAAGAGTGGCCGACAAGGTGAAGTGTCAATTTTCAAGGTATAATGCGGCCATTCTTTTTTTTTCGACTAGCTACAGGGGGCTTTTCTAAGATTTTTTTATTTTTTTCGAGGATGTTAAGTCGGCCAAAAGTCAATTAAAAGCGTTGTTAACCAGTAATATTGCCTATTTACAGATGCAATATTTCTGCGTTTCTTGGAGCTGGTTGAAGTACACAGAACAAAATTCTGAATTTTAACTATCGCGTAAAATCTCCCTTTGCTTAATTTTGAGCTATACTTAGCATAAACAGCGAAATTGTTTACAAGCTTGCATGCAATATTGCTAATTTATACGATATTGCCCAAGGGGTCATCAACCTGCACACCTCAATCTGTGCCGATAGTTTTAGCTGTGCCGAAAGCTATGCCAAACGATGTGCCGAAGCGTACCAATAATACTAATCAAGTAACCCATGAGTTTGGCAACCCAGAAAACTTTATGACTTTTTTGATTGTTTATTTGTGATCGTGCCAGAAAACGAAGAGTGATGTATACAGCCGAAGTAATTGATGTATACAGCGTAAAATCACTGCTGTTGCACGGAAATTTCACCAGAATTAGCAAATCAAATCAAATCTGTTCCAAGAAGCTCAATTTGTAGCTCTGGTGCATGCCGGCTCCTTAGCTATACTCCGTAGGATGGATTCCGGCAAGCTGGATGTGGTTCTTCATCCGTGGCGTTGATTATAGAAAAGTACGAAAGCGATAACAACTGCGAGGTGGAGGTGGAACTGTTCAATCGGCTGCAAGCGGAGGTTATCGGGGATTTTGAAAAAAACAATCGATTTCCTCGAGAAGGTTCTAAGGGGTAAAGGATCGGGTTTAGGTTGAGAAATGTACTCAGGTATACCTTGATATAACGTAATTGTCGCTTTTGACTTCCATCACTGATTTCTAGCTAACAATCACCAAATCAAGGAAAGTAATAACACCATCGAAGATATGAGACAATTCTCCATCTATTGGTCATGCCAATTTGAATAATTGAATTGTTATTTGTGAGATATCGACGATGGAAGTCAAAAGTAACAGTTACATTGTATTGAGGTATACCTATATTTTTCAATTAATAAAATATAAAACAATGTTAAAATAAATCCTATCTGATATGCCGCAGACTGCACAATAGATTATCATAATATTTATTGAATGAATCCTGATTACTTAAACAGGGTTAGCCACCGGTGGAGATCGCTCTCCCAAGGAGGATGATTTGTATGACGCTATGCATCTGGCCACCGTGCCTGTGAAATTGTCCCATGTAAACTGTGATTACCGGTATTGTCGCTACCGGAAACTGTTGCAATCACGTTGGATGCAAAAGTGGATGACCCTGAAGGTGATCTAGTTATTGCTCTTGCTGTTTATGATCTCGGCGCTGTACTGGCTGCAGGAGAGATTCAAGCAAAGGTTTGACTTCTATTCCAGAATCTGAACGTCTACTCCGATGGATTTATTAAATTCATCCTGAAGCGGAGATCAGTGACTGTCAACAAAGTGTGAAACCTTAGCAACTATTGGAAAATCGACAGCAAACAACAGTGATGCCGTTTTATATTATATAATGTGTCATTCTTGTCAATTTGTGCTCTAACGAGCCGATCAGTGTGCCGTGATGTGTTTAGACACAGTGTGCCGAGTTGATTACCCCTTGATATTGCGCTTAAGTTTACACGAAATATCGCGTAAATTTATGCCAAATCTAGCGGTAATTTTATGTGGGCTATATCTAGCAGAAATTTACATGATTTTTTTCGAACGGAAATAACACAAATTGAATGTAATTGAATGTAAACAATTCAATGATTTGACGTAAGGATACGATTACTTTGAATAGGTACCCAACCTAGGTCCTTAGCCATAGTGGTCATATCTTTATGTAAAAACCAATACAACACATTCGACAGCGCTATATTTGTGTAGTACGATAATAATAATGTTGCATTTGATCCTGAATCCTGAAAACGAATATTAATATTGACAAAAACACAGGCGATAATCAACATCCAGCCACGAATGAACAAAAACAAATGTTTACTTCAATACTCAGTGGTTGCCTTGATCAAGAGATTTTTTTTATGTCAAAATTCAAATTCATGCAGGTAGTTGGTCTATCTGTTAAGGGGGGAGTACACTTTGATTTTTCAAAAAAATGCATTTTTTTTCGCTTAAAATGTTCCTTGGGATGCATACTTTAATTTAGAAAAGACTCCAGGTCCGCCAGAATATTCCTTACCGCTTTACGAAGCGATTTCCTAAAACATGTACCGGCGCGCTGAGAGAGCATTTTATCTCTAAACGCGTTTATCTCGAAACGGGGTTTTTCAAACTGGCGTAGGAAATAACTCTAACCAGAAATCATCAAATTTGGATATCACCTAGGTTTTCTTGTTTAGAATTAAATTCTGCTTAGATATACGTATCCACATTTTCGATTCTGTCAAAAATTGATTTTTAATCCACGATTTTGTAAGCATTTTTAGGATGAAAAAATGGACTTTTTTTTTCCTAAGGCCACAACTTTTGAAAAAATTAATTTAAAAAAATCGGAATACGTATTTCTAACCCAAATTTCATTACTAATCAGGATTTTTGTTCGATTTATGGTCCAGGATCACATGGAAATGAGTATTTTTCCACGCCGTTTTCCGACTTCCGCGCGAAGATGCCCGCGCGACCTGGTGCACTTGCCACGGGGAGACGCCAATCGAGTTCAAAAAAATACAAATTGTAGTTCGAAGGATGACTAATAAATGGGTTATAACATATTTGCCCTCCCTGAGTGTTTTATTGCTTAAAAAATTAACGAAAATGCCCTACTTTTTGGACGTTCAAAGTGTACTACCCCCTTAAGGTTGTCTTTATTTTCAGCTAAGTTGAGTGTAGAAGGGATGATTTTTATCTGCACTGGCTGCGATATTCACGAACCGTAATTCTTATGTAAAGAGCTCAGTGACCTAGTAGGGACCGTTTTGGCTTACTGTGCTGAAGATCATGGATTCAATATCAGCCTTTTACGTATTATATACATAGGGGAAATGCAGGTAATGTTGGCCTAAGTGTCCCTAATTTGGGCCCATACATAAATTCAGCAATCGACAAAATTTTCAATAGCAACCAAAAATATTCATTAGTAGCGTCCCAATAACGCGATAATCTAGATAAAATTGATAAATAGCAGATTTTTGCGATGGGCCCAATGTTAGATCCATAGGCCAACATTAGAGATAGTTCCCTTAGTTGTTAGTTTCACGATGTAGGTAAGACGCCCGGCTTAGTGGTTAGCATCCGTGTCTCTCACGCTAGGGGTCACGATTGCAATAAAATTATTTTAATGGACTATAAAAAAAAGGAATTTCAAAAAGTATCCCGATGTTAACTTATGATCACATCACACACCATGGTGATTTCAAATATTACTAACGGAATAATTCTAAAAGAAAGTTTGATCAAATTCCAAAGATTGTTGACGGACCTTCCTGGAAATAAAATTTTTCTGGGAAAAAATACGGTCAAAGTTATGATGGAAGCTATTTCTTGATACCTTCTGAACTTCTTGGGAAACTTAGTAGAACTTGATGGGCACGTAGAAAGAACTGCAATGTCTTTGTTGAAAGATCAAATTTTGGGCAAATTTTGAAAACAAATTGGGGAACCGTGAGATCTTTAAAGTTCTTCAAGAAATTGTTTTTGAACTTTGATACTTAAAATTGCAGGAAATTTCCAGTGAAATGGAACTGTAACGAACCTGGTAGTTGGGCATATCACAAATTGTTAGTTGAATTGAGTAAAAGGCGAAATGTAGATGTGAATTTTAATCAAATGGGTCAGAATTTTTAAATAACTGTAAAAAACTATTTTGATTTTAAATATTTACGTTTAGCTTGATGCCAATCTGATTGCTTCTCAAAGATTTGAATATCACTAGGAATCTCAATAATCGTGGGAAACTATTCCCCGCGTGAAAAGAACAATCCGATCAATATCGTCATCAAACTTCACATCAATCCATATTCCATTCGTCAGCACACAGTGTGGCACTCCCTGTCCAAAGGAGTAATTGGTCTTCCCTTGCCGCTGATCCACTTCATTTGGATCCACCTCTTCCGGACCGCGCGTCCTCACCTTACCTTCAGGTATCGATGATTAAAGCTATAGGGTCAATGGTTACTAATTACCAACCGCAACAACAGCACAGTCACTAACCTACCAGCCTAGCTCAGAACTTGTGATCCCCGTTCAGACCGTGGTCCGAGCAGGAAACCTTGAGCAACGGCTAAAAGCCGGACGTGGCCATCATGATCCCGTTGGTGCCGTGTTCGCCCCGTTCCCAGCACGGGTGAAACATCGACGTACTCCGGCTGATCGGTGCGTGCGGTTGCAACCGGGGCATCGTTTCCCGTGCCGGGTAGTACACTATTGGTCCGGGCGAGGGTGCCCTGGTGCTCCGGATCGTGGTCCGCGTCGTTCGTATACTGCCGAGGGTGCTGTTGCACACCTTGGACGTACTGCTGCGGGTTGTACCCAGTCGCTGGAAACGTCCGCTATTTCGATGGCTTCCTTCGCCGTTCGAGAATGAACTGTCCTCCTGGAGAAAGCCATCCGGTGATTCCCGGCCAAGGCGCGACTTACAAAATAACAGAAGAAAAATCCGCTTGAACTTCTCGCCGAAGATGACGTAGATGATGAAGTTGACGGACGAGTTGATGGTGACGAGAAGGTTGGAGGTTTTGACTAGATAATCGTTGATTTTCGAGTAGACCGCTTCCATGATGTTGTTGACCATGGCAAGCAGGTTGCACAGCAGGAATACGACCACCACGCAGATGAGCATGGTGGCTAGGCCGATTTCTCGCTTTTCCGACCGGGACAGTCGCTGGCGTTCGCGGTTCGCTTTGCGGACCTGTTGATAGATCATGGTGTTGAAGAAGGAAATGGATGAGAAGGGGAGAAGGTAGATGAAAACCGTGTACATCCAGTGGACGTAGACTCGGATGTAGAGATCGTGGGTTCGGAGGTTGGATGCGCTCACGCAGTAGGCTCCTTCGTAGCCTGGGTGATCGAATGCGGATATGGAAACCTCCCAGAAGCGAGGCAGGTTGTAGAGGAGCGAGAAGATGAGAATAGCTATCACGTAGATCCGAGCTCGGCCGTAGGTGCAGAGAGCTCGTGCTCGCAACGGATGGCATACGGCCACGTATCGCTCAAGGGTGACGGTTAGCGTTAGGTAGACGCTTGCGGTCTGTGCTGTCATCGCTAGCGGATATACGACCGGCGATATGACCGGATGTATCACATAGTAGTAGTAGAAGAGATAGCCCGTGTACGGATAGATGGCCGGAATGCCGAAGAGAAGCATCGACGTTAGGATTACTATGGTATCACAGCGGGCTAGACCTATCAGTAGGTAATTGATGCTGGAACGCATCTGCGGCCTAGAGAGGATCACCATCGACAGGATGTTGCCGAGGATGCCTAGCAGGGAGATTATGTTCATCAGGACGCCACTGATCCAGAACTCGAACAGCGTTAGCTCCGTGTCGATCTCCAGTGCGTAGTAGCACACCGACATGTTGTGGTAGAACGTCCCATTGTAGGAATCGTTCGACAAGTTTGCAGCCGAGCTCTGCAGGATGTAGTGGTTGTCCTCGATAATTATGCTATAGTCATAGTCGACGTTTGTCGTGTTCATTTTCATGCCTACCTAACCTAGTTCAGCTGCCTAGCATAACCTTAAAAATGTAATAAATCTAGCCTTCTATTAGCTATAGCCTCTAAATAGTGCCCTCTGATTCAGCTCTCTCCCTCTTGCGCGCTGTGATGCTTCACCCTAATGACCTATTAAAGCTCCCGTTGAATCGATTCTTAAAGCAATAACGTCTTTTTTATATATATGTTTCCCCACTTCGTTTTACCTCCTGGAGGAAAACTGGGCGTCCCGAGCGAATGGAAAATATTTTATTTTACTTCTCTATAATCTCCAGAGTAAATCTCACGATAAAATACGCCCCGGAATTCTGCAAGCGCAATACCATCTATCTTGATGACGACGTTTCTTCTTTCTGTTCAGTGCGTGATGCCATTGCAGTTAAAGTCCCAGTCCGGAACGTGGTAACCTCTGGGACTGAAGAAGCTCAAACACGTGACTCTGGCCGGAGGAAAAAGAGTAGTAGCAGAGCGGATCATCAACCATGACCCATCCGCGGTTGGAGTGGTGCTATTCGTTGTTTGCACTGGGGCTTGACACTTCCGGCTGGCATCCAATTGCATTCTGGCGGGAACGGCAGCTTTCACCACTTCCGGATGTACCCTGAAAAAATATGTAGAAAAATGAAGAAATTAGTTTTGCTGTGTTTACGGTGTGCGTGTGATTGTATTGATTTAATGAGCAGAACAATGGAAAACAATCAACGACGGATGGAAGTCGAATGGGATCACGTTGGCTGTACACGGGGTAGACCCGACGACGACGACGCTGGGGGACACTAATTAAAGTGAAGTTGCGGAGCCGGAAATGTGAAGACATTAAAATGTTTTTCTTTGTTTTGTTGCTCGCGCAATTGTTCGGAAGGGAGGATTGGTACACTGACGGTGCTTGACTGTTAAAAGCACAAAAGCCGTAGCTCTTTCAATTATTTTTATGTCCTGGTGCATGTCATCGCTTCATGCGGTGTGGTGAAAATCCAATTTTTTGTGCTTTTTCTTTTTTGGTGACTGACAGACTGTGGAAATTTGAAGCTAATTGCCGTCTCCCGAGGTATGCCATTTTCCATTTCCTTCAATTGTCAAGCAACATTGCCACAAGATGGAAGACGAATTGGATTCGATTGCCGTTGAATTGATACATTCGGTATTGTTCTATAATACCCGCAGAGACAGAGAGAGACCGAGAGATGAGCTCGCAAATGGATCCGTTTCCATTATGTGCTACGAAATTAGTGGGAAACGTAAATCGAAGATGCATCTGATCCAACTTGAAATCGTCTGAGTGGAAAGCTAACTTTTCCTGGGAACAACTTAATTTCCTTGGTAAGAATAGACATAGCGAGCGATAGAAGTGAAGAACTGTGTTCGTAAAACTTGATGCATAGTTTTTCGCTGATAGAGAAGACGGAAGAGAAAACTTTTCCTTCATCGGGTTTGCTTATTGTTTGTTTCAATTAAATAGTTTCCAGCATTTTCGAATTAAGGTCCTGAACTTGGTACAATGTTTAGGATCCTAAGATAAAAAAAATCCTCATGCTCTCGGATTTAGATTAAATTGTAGAATCCTGGACAAAGAAAAACATTAAACTCGCTGAGATTCCTTAATCTAAACAATTTTTGTATTTATGCATATTTTGTTGACAAGTAGATTTTGCTGAGAAAATTTCCATTCAGTAAAAATAGCAAGCTTACCGGTTTATATTTATGGCAAATAGGCTTTGAAGATGGGAATAAAACGTTCTCTTTTCCAACAGTAATTCCCATGCAGAGATGTCAGATTTACAGACATGTCTGTGAATTTACAGCCTTTTATTTTTTTCACAAACATTTTTTTTTTCGTTACAAAAAAACAATGACCTGGTTGCAGCAGTTTGGATGTAATATTCAACAACTTTTTTTTTTCTGTGTGTTTTACATCTTTAATCAAATTATACGTGCGATGCATTTTGCAACACGCATAAGAAATTCACGCGTTTTAAAATCCACCACACGAACGAGCTGTCAGCCCAGTGGCAGGCGCGTAAGCAACATGTTATACCGTGACAGCGGGCCCAGCACAGCAAAATAAACTATTTGAGCCCGGGACTGCCTACTGTCAAACGCTGCTGTTGGTATAGGCCTTATCACTGGCCTGGTCACTGTTATAGACGGTCATAGTTATACACCTCTCAATGTGCTGCCATGTTGTATCCAAAACGAACATTTTCCATACGATTTGACGGTTTGCTTGGATACATCAACTTACGTTAGCCGGTCTATAACTTGATTGTCTATACTGCCGGTAATCGCAAGTCAGTCTCATCTGCATTTTTATCAATTTTGAGCTAGCATCATTATTCAGTTTATCTTTTTATGTTTTTTGAGATGTGCTATTGAATAAAGGTGGTTTGTTCTAGAAAAATGAAAAACAATACCAAGTCAAATTGTCCCACAGCGAAAAGTCCCATTAAAAAAAATATGTTAGAAATATTAGACAACACATTGTATCATGAGATTTGTGTCAAGACAGATTTTGTCCATTTCCCTTAGGGTATATGGAAAATGTCCGGATGTGGCCAATATAGTTCTTACGAAACTCAGTTTGTCCGCCAATGGATTCGGCTTTGCATTATCATGTGATTGGATGTATCGCTTGATGGATTTTGATTTATAAAGGATTTACCACTTCCCCGGGAATACCTGGAACATGTCCGGGTGTGGCAAACTTGGTGCTGGTCGCTCATCATGACTCTTATTGATCTTATTTTTGAATTCTCATGTGATTTATCGCATGGTGGGTTTGGCACGTTTATGAAAAGCTCTGGTCTTATGAAGACGCATACTCACCCTTGTTCTGAAACCAGCTAAACAAATCCAGAAACATTCAATAACGTTCTATGGAACCATAGTATCTTTCTACTGTTCAATACTGTGTTAAACTAATGCAGCATCGTCATGGAATTGTGACTGACTTGCGGTTATTTTTCTCATTGACGTTAAATGTAATCACAAGTCAGTCCCACTCAGATTTTGGCCATAAAATAAAGATTTCACAATATTTTTCCAATATTTTTGGGTAAACATAGATGCATTCTATCACATTGTACGTTTATTTTTAAATTTATCCCTCCAAAATAAGTGTCAAATCAGAAAACTTGAAAAATCTTTGAACGCCGTTTTCTCATTTTCAGTTTTTTTACAGATGGGACTGACTTGCGATTATGGGCAGTATAGTCACTGTCACTGAAACAGTGAATGAAAAGGACAGTGTGTTTCCATCCTATTCCATCTTTTTATTCGAAAACACCCACCCACGGATGCAGTTTTAGTGCTGAACTGAATAAGAGTAGAAAAAATGTGGAAAAAATCGCGAAAAATCAAAGAAAACGAACTTTTTCAAAGGACAGGTAAGCTATGGGTAAGGTAAGTTATGTTTGTTTCATTTCTGATTCTCAGTGTTATATTTGTGTACGCGCTGCTGGTCCAAATCGTTCCGATGCTTCATCCAAAACCGCAGCTATGCTTAACTTAACTTGAACATGATTTTAGCAAAATTTTAACTTAAATTTTACCAAATTTAGCAAAATATTAATTTATTTTTAGCATTGCTTTAACTTTAAGATAACTTTAACTTACCTATAACATAAATTTAACTTAAGTTTAACATAACTTTAACTTTAAAATTACTTTAACTTATATTTAACATAACTTTAACTTACCTTTAACATAACTTTAACTTAGCTTTAACTTTAAAATAACTTAAAGTTAACTTTAACTTTAAAATAACTTCAACTTAACCTTAACTTTACTTAAACATAATTTTAGCAAAATTTTAACTTAAATTAAAAAAAAATTAACATAAATTTAATTTATTTTTAGCATAACTTTAACTTTAAGATAACTTTATCTTACCTTTAACATAACTTTAACTTAACTTTAACTTACCTTTAACTTAACTTTAACTTATAAATAACTTAACTTTAACTTATAAATAACTTAACTTAAACTTTAAAATAACTTAAACATAAATTTAACTTTAAAATAACTTAAACTTAACTTTTACTTTAAAATAACTGACTTAACTTTAACATTAAAATAACTTTATCTTAACTTTTACTTAACTTGAACATAATTTTAGCACAATCTGAACTTAAATTTAACCAAATTTAACATTAATTTAATTTATTTTTAGAATAGCTTTAACTTTAAGATAACTTTAACTTAGTTTTATATTTAACATAACATGAACTTAACATAAACTTAACTTTAACTTACATTCAACTCAACTTTAACGAACCTTCAACTCAACTTTAACTTATATTACTTAAACATAACTTTAACTTAACTGTATCTTAACTTTAAGTTAAGTTAAAGTCAGTTTAAAGTTAATTTAAAGATAAAGTTATTTTATAGTTATATAAAAGGTAAGATGAAGTTATGTTAAAATTTAGTTAAAGTTATGGTATAGTTAAAATAAGTTCTCGGATAAGTTAAACGAGAACTTATTTTAACTATACCATAACTTTAACTTAATTTTAACATAACTTCATCTTACCTTTAATATAACGATAACATAACTTTATCTTTGACTTAACTTTAAACTTACGTTTACTTAACTTTTACATATATTTAATAAACCTTTAACTTAACTTTAACAGAAGTTAAACTTAATCATAACTTAACATTAACTATAACATAACTTTAACTTAACTTGAACTTTATTTTAACATACACTTATCTTAATTTAAGCTTTCACTTAATTTCAGCTTAATCTTAACATAACTTTAATTTAAATGTAACTTATACTTAAGTTTGAATAAACTTTAACTTTACATCATTGAACTAAACATGAACTTAAATTTTACTTAACTTTAACTCAATTTTAACTTAACTTGAACGTAACTTAAATTTTAAATTAAATATTACTTAACATTATTATATCATTTAGAGATGAACTAGTCAACGGCTTAAAATCTCTCTAATGAGGTCAAAAAAAAAACATGAGGGCACGCAATAACCTTTAACTCCAACGCAGGCAACGGCTGTAATTAAATTAATTTCATTAACTACTGCTTTAATAACATTAATTACACAATGAAGAACATTAACTACTTTTTAACTATATTAATTACAGTAGAAATTTCGTAATTATTTTCAATATTTTTAATTACATTAATTACGGATAGATAATTTTAATTACCGTCAGTACTACTTCAGAACTAAGTACTTTTGATTGCATTTTAACTTCAACGCACCGGTTCTTTGTATTGCGTGCCCCTCGAAAACGTCTTAACTTAAACATAAATTTAACATAGCTTTATCTTAACTTTAACTTAACTTTAACTTAACTTCAACTTAACTTTAACTTAACTTTAACTTAACTTTAACTTAATTTTAACTTAACTTTAACTTAACTTTAACTTAATTTTAACTTAACTTTAACTTAACTTTAACTTAACTTTAACTTAACTTTAACTTAACTTTAACTTAACTTTAACTTAACTTTAATCTAAATTTAACTTAACTTTAACTTAACTTTAACTTAACTTTCACTTAACTTTAACTTAACTTTCACTTAACTTTAACTTAACTTTAACTTAACTTTAACTTAATTTTAACTT